AAGTAGGCTGGTGGGTCCTGGGGGGACTTTAGCTCTCTTCATTAAAAAAAGAAAAAAGAAGCCGGGCTTGGTGGCTCAGCCCGTAATCCCGCGCCTTTGGGAGGCTGAGGTGAGTGGATTGCCTGAGCCCGCGGGTTCGAGACCCGCCTGGGCAGCGAGACCTCAACTCTACAATAAATCAAAAAATCAGCCGGGCGTGGTAGCACATGCCTATAATTCCGGCTACTCGGAAGGCTGAGGCAGAAGGATCGCCGGAGCCCAGCAGGCGAGGCTGAGGTGGCCACTGCACTCCAGTCTGGGCAACCGAGTGAGACTCCAACTCAAAAAAAAAAAAAAAAAAAGAATAAAGAAAAAAAATAGCAAACAGGGCTGCCCTGGGTCTTCTCCTTTCCTGTCCTTTTATATCTGGACTTCTAAAAACATGCCAGGACTGAGGTGGCATCTTGGGATCACTGGGAGACTTAGGGCTACTCTCATCCAGTATCTTAAGTTAATTACATCTGCAGAGATCCATTCCAGAGCAGGCTGTGTTCTGAAGTTCTGGTAGACGTAAACTTTGGGGGGGATACTATTTAACCCACTACATGCCTCACTGCTCAAATTGAATCCACCAGCAAGTTCCATAAAACTTGCCCTCTAAACACATTCAGGACCTGACCACTTCTCACGATGCCGATTCAACCAGTTTACCCCAGAGCCCCATAATCACTCCCCTCACTCTACTCCAACCTCCTCGTGGGCGTCCCTGCTTTGAGTCTTATCTCCCACTCTCCATGTTCCACCCAGCCCCCAGCTACCTTTTTAAAAAGATTAATTCAGATTTAATAATCCTCCTGAATAAAACCTGCCAGTGGCTTCTCAGTGCTTTTAAAACAAAGTCCAGACTCTGTCATGGCTATAAGCCTATGCTACCTCTCTGACATCTAACCTCTGAACTCACTCATCTCATTTGTACCCATTCACTTTCCTCCAGCAGCGGCGGCTCTTTCTTCTTTCTGCCAGGTTTCTTCCTGACTTGGGGTCTTCACACTTGAGGTTCCCTCTGCTCCAGATCAGTGTATGGTGGGGCCCACGTCTCCCCTAGGTCACATCTCAAAGATTGTCTCTTAAGAGAGGCCTGCTCCGATTACTCAAGTCTAAAGCAACCCCAAACCTGCCTATAAATCCCTCTATCATATCACCCTGTTTTACTTTCTTGTTTTTTTTTTTTTTTTTTTA